TTCTGGTAAGTTTTTTTTTTTTTTAGAAAGCAAGCCTTAGCAAGACTTGTTACAGATTGCGGCTATTTATCAACCTAATATTCTCCTCTGTTTTGTAGATGGAGAAGAGATTGGAGACATCTTCCGAGGTTTTCAAACCAGGGAAGGGACGTCCCTTCCTCCTTTTTCGGTTTGGAGGCCGGAAATCCGTCAGATGTTCGTCAGTCGAGCCTGTTACCTATCCCAGGTTCAAAATTTTTAGGATTTTGATTTTGTCAACCCCTTTTTCTTAAGTAAAAAACTTTTTGCCTTAATGACACGTTTTTTCTTTTTACTCCGAAGGCGTTTATGGAGACTAATGGAATGATCTTCCATTTTGAGAACCTTCTTCACCAAGCGATGAGAGAAGTCGCAAAGGCTAAAAAGGAGGTTGATGAACTTAGATTAGCCAATCAGTCTGAGCGATCCGAGCAAGCAAGAGCCCTTGAATCATCCTTTGAGAATATGAAGAAAACTCTAGCAGCTAATGAGCAACGCATCAGAATTGCGGACGCTGAAAGAGATTCTGCGAGGTCTGATGCTCTTCGCTTAGAATCCGAGGTAGAAGAGACTACAGCTTTGCTCGAAGAGAAGAATCAAAAGACCGAGCTTTTAATTAGGAACAGAGCTCGCGATATTGCTGAAGCCGAACATAACGCTCGAGAAGAGATGAGGGGCTTTGGTAGGCAACTCATTCAAGCTATCATGAAGTTCATCAAAGACGAGGAAGACTGGACTAAGCTTCAGTCCGATCGAGCCGAGCTGAAGAGTAATCTAGATCTGATTGGGGGAATAGAGAGTGGAAGAATTTCGCTAGAGGATGAGAGGAGGGGAGTTTCTGCTGAGCTCGCTACAGTTGAATCCGAGTTATCTTCGGCTTCCCGCCCTTCTCTTGATTTGGGACCATTTCTTTGGTATTTGGAGATTCCCCCTCCCAATTTGAGGTTGGCGAAGGTTCTCGGCCATACGAAGGTCTCCAGAGGTATAGGAACGCTCTTTTTTTAAAAAATTGTTTTGTTGAGTCCATGAGGACTATTCCGTTTGACGGAAGTATTTTGTTCAATTAGTGTGACTGAACACAACCATGTGCTCTGGCATATGATTTTTTTTTTTTAAACAAAACGTTTAGACACGATTCTAGGTTTGCAAGTCCTAGCCCACCAAAGAGGTTTATGAACTGTGAGAGATGAGCTGATCAGGCTCACTTGCCTTTTTAAAGAAAAAATCTTAATAAGTATTTTTCCTCGGTCTCTCGAAGGCGAGGATGGAGCTCGGCTTAAGTTTTTTTTTTATCGAGGGATAAGATTTATAATCATGAGAATTTGACCAGGCAATGTTTCGATCGTTGCCCATAATGGCTTCGGAATCGCTGGGCCACGTTTTAATTGGATCCGAAGCCTGCTCTAACAGGCCCGCAATATATAATTATTTTTAGAAATCTGAACCTTGATATGTCTATAATTTGCATGTTTTACACATCCATTTATCACCACTTTGAGTCTAGTTTCATTCATCTTCCATAGCATTCATCATCATTTTGTACATTTTGCATGTTTAAGTGTGTCTAGCATTAGTCTTGCATGCATTTTGCATTCTGGAGTTGTTTCAGGTACTTCGGAGCTATTGGTGTTCAGAAAGAGCAAAAACAGAGCTGAAAGTCACATTTGGACCATTCTACTCGATCACCAGTAGCAGAGAGGGAAGCAGTCAGCTCAGCAGACCATCAGGACCCTTATACTCGATCACAGAGCAGTCCAGCCAGACTGTTCTACTCGATCACAGAGGAGGAGAGCAGTCCATCCTGCCAGTTGACTGTTCTACTCGATCGCAAGGTTGAAGAAGCAGTCCAGATCACGCCATCAACCAACCTGCCTCGACCGCAGAGGGAGAGGAGCAGTCCATCCTGCCAGTTCACTGTTATACTCGATCGCAAGGTTGAAGAAGCGGTCCGTCCTGACAGTCTACCCACATACTCGATCACAAGAGAGAAGAAGCAGTCCAGACCACGCCACTACCCATTCTACTCGATCACCACCTCGACCCTCTGATCAATCCGCACTCAACCAGACAACCTGAGCAAAGGAAAGAGAAGAGGAGAGAAGGAACCACTTGATCGCGGCTTCGATTCACGCTCGACCATGAAGCCCACTTTGAGCCCATATACTCGACCTCCACGGTCCATGGGCTTGTTAAGCGGACTCGAAGCCCACTTACCTATCTATGTCGTTTTTTACTATAAATAAGTCTCTAAGGGTTTTCCCTGAGACATTCGGTTTTTCACTTACGTTTTGTCTCGAACCCTAGTATTGTTTTAGTAGCCGCTTTTGCTTCTGCAACTTTGTATTTTTCGTTCGTTTTTTCTAAGTTATTGAGATTCTGCTTTCATCCTCTTGTTGATTTCTGTTTCATTTCCTTTGATCTTTGAAGTTATGCAATCATCAATCGTTCTGTGTCTTTGAGCATGTTTGTCTGAGTAGTGACTAGGATTCCTGAGGATGTCATAGAGTAGTTGTGAGACCCATGGTCGAATCTGATGGTTAAGTGTAGTTACATTTGAATCCCTTCTGGATTAGTTGTGCTTATTGCTTATTCCTTTCTGATCAACTGGAATTCGATCCCAAACATTCCAGCGCTCATGAGGCGTTTAATGGATTGTTGGATCTACTAATTCCAGTGATAATCGTCTCTATCCCAAGGGATTGGCCGTTTAGAGCGGTTATTGGCTTTAACAGTCGGTTCTTATTGCCTGCATAGTTAGATTCCGTTAATGGGAATTAGTCTGGGCTAGCTTTGCTTGAGGATTTGTTGCACGGGAGTGAATAAGTCTGTTGTTGAACATGTTGTCTAGGGATAGCTTCATTGAGAATTGTTAACCATCTGAATTGATTATGGAGTCCACACTATTCGATTACCCCATCCTTAGGAATTTCTTATCCAATTGATTTATCTGTTTGCTTACCTGCTTCATTCACCTTCTCTGTTACTTGCTATTGAATTTTGATAACTGTCTGTTTTCGGACCCTTTTACTCTATCACATCCTCCTTCTGGCAGTGAGCCTTGTGATAGAGTATAGCAGTCCATTTATGCAAATTTACTGTTTTCTGCAATCAATCACTAGGACTGTTTAGAACAACAACCAATTTCCTGCTGGCTTGACTTAGTGCTTTCTGATCATATCTCATTTGTTTGCATCACACCTGATTGGATTGACACCTAAAATACTACAACGACACGATAGTGTTTTAGGATTAATTGATCTTAAAAAACTTATTATCAATTTGGCGCCGTTGCCATTTGGGTGTTTGTTTGCTATATTTGAGATCATTAGCAACGTTAAGATCAAGTTCGTTTTTTTTTTTTTTTTTTTTTTTTTAAAGGGTTACTAACTCTGTGTCTTTGTCTCTGTTTGTGTGTTTCAGGTACTATCTCTGATTACTCTGCTTAAGCTGAGCTGATACTTGTTGCATGCATACTAGATCAAAAGGAAATCAGAACCTGCTTTTCAACGAGAAACATCGACCGTATTGCTCGTGAGTTAAGAGAACAGACAGGCACAGACGTTATGGCCGCCGATCAGAACCCAAATTTGCCAAACAACATTGGTGCAGGCGATGCTCCACGCAATGACAATCATCGCAATGGCATTGTGCCTCCACCAGTGCAGAACAACAACTTTGAGATCAAGAGTGGTCTCATTGCCATGGTTCAGGGCAACAAGTTTCACGGCCTCCCTATGGAGGATCCACTCGATCATCTGGACGAGTTTGATAGGCTCTGTAGCCTAACTAAGATCAATGGAGTCAGTGAGGATGGCTTCAAGTTGCGTTTGTTTCCATTTTTCTCTTGGAGACAAAGCCCACCAGTGGGAAAAATCACTTCCTCAAGGCTCCATCACCTCCTGGAATGACTGCAAGAAAGCCTTCCTGACTAAATTCTTCTCCAATTCCAGGACAGCAAGACTCCGGAATGAGATTTCCGGCTTCACTCAGAAGATGCTGAGACTTTCTGTGAAGCATGGGAGCGTTTCAGAGGATATCAGAATCAATGTCCTCACCACGGTTTTCTCTAAAGCCTCACTCCTGAGCACTCTCTACAGAGGAGTTCTCCCTAAGATCCGGATGCTCCTGGATACAGCATCCAACGGGAATTTCCTGAACAAGGAAGTTGAAGAAGGATGGGAGCTGGTAGAGAATTTAGCTCAGTCTGATGGAAACTACAATGAAGATTATGATAGAACCATCAGAGGAAGTTCAGACTTAGAGGAGAAGCACCGCAAGGACATGAAGGCCATGAATGACAAGCTGGACAAGCTACTCCTTGTGCAACAGAAGCAAGTCCATTTTTCTCTGTGAAGATGAGACGTTCCAAGTCCAGGATGAGGAGACTCTTCAGTCAGAAGAAGTAAGCTATGTGCAAAACCAAGGAGGCTACAACAAGGGCTACAACTACTATAAGCAGAACAATCCCAATCTGTCTTACAGGAGTACCAATGTTGCAAACCCGCAAGATCAAGTCTACCCTCAACAACAGCAGACCCAACCCAAACCATTCGTCCCATACAACCAAAGTCAAGGGTTTGTTCCTAAGCAACAGTTTTCAGGGAGGTTATCAAACACAGCATCCACCACCAGGATTTGTACCACAACAACAACAAACCTCTAGCACTCCTGACTCAGACCTGAGGCAAATGCTCCAACAGCTTCTTCAAGGACAAGCAACAGGCTCTATGGAGATCGCTAAGAAGCTGGCTGAAATGAACAACAAGATAGACTGTAGTTATAACGATCTCAACATCAAGGTAGAGGCACTGACTTCAAAGGTCAGATACATGGAAGGCCAAACTGCATCAACCTCCGCTCCCAAGGTTACAGGACTTTCAGGAAAATCAATCCAGAATCCACAGGAGTATGCTCATGCTATCACGCTCAGAAGCGGTAAAGCATTACCCCCGAGAGAAGGTCTAAAACAAAACACTGAGGACAGTGTGGAGCAAGATGGGGAGGATTTCTGTCAGAATGAAGATTCAGCTGACAAGGTAACAACGGAGCCCATACTCGATCCACCTACTCGATCACCAGTGCCCATACTCGATCCATCTACTCGACCACCAGTTCCTGCAGTATCCGAATCTGTTGAAAAACCAGCTGCTACCAAAACCAAGGAAAACGTTTTCGTTCCCCCACCTTACAAGCCTCCACTCCCATTTCCCGGTCGGTTTAAGAAGGTTCTGATACAGAAGTACAAGACTCTCCTGGAAAAACAACTCAAAGATCTTGAAGTCACTATGCCTCTTGTTGACTGTCTCGCGCTGATACCAGACTCCCATAAATACGTGAAGGATATGATTACTGAGAGAATCAGAGAAGTCCAAGGAATGGTGGTGTTAAGTCACGAGTGTAGTGCAATCATCCAGAAGATGATCATACCCAAGAAATTGGGAGATCCTGGTTCTTTTACTCTGCCTTGCACTCTAGGTCCTTTAGCCTTCAGCAAATGCCTCTGTGATCTAGGTGCATCTGTAAGTCTCATGCCTCTCTCTGTGGCAAGGAGACTTGGTTTCAGCAAGTACAAATCCTGCAACATATCCTTGATTCTGGCTGACAGGTCCATCCGAATACCTCATGGTCTGCTAGAAGACTTACCAGTCATGATAGGCAGAGTCGAAGTGCCGACGGACTTCGTGGTTTTGGAGATGGATGAAGAGCCCAAGGACCCTCTAATTTTTGGAAGGCCATTCTTAGCTACAGCCGGAGCAGTCATAGATGTCAAGAAGGGGAAGATCGATCTTAACCTTGGAAAAGATCTCAAGATGACCTTTGATATCACCAACACCATGAAGAAGCCTACAATTGAAGGAAAGGTTTTCTGGATTGAAGAGATGGATATGATAGCTGACGAATTACTAGAGGAACTAGCAGAAGAAGACCATCTACAGAGTGCTCTGACAAGGGATAACAAGGAAGGGGACTTACACATAGAGACTTTGGGGTACCAGAAGCTGTTAGACATGTGTAAAGAAGCTGAGAATCCAGAGGAGTACGAAGATTTGGTTGGAAAGGTGAAGAAGGAGGATATACTCGATCACATCGCTCGTCAGACAGTACATCCAGTCTACTCGACCGAGATACTCGATCACATCCTCCCCTCTGATGAATCTGTCATAGCATCTGATGACTGGTCTGAACTCAAGGCACCCAAAGTGGACCTGAAACCGCTGCCAAAAGGGCTAAGGTACGCTTTCCTTGGACAGAACTCTACTTACCCTGTAATTGTCAGTGACGAGCTGAACACTGATCAAGTCAATCTGCTGTTAACTGAATTGAGAAAATATAGGAGAGCTATAGGATATTCACTAGATGATATCAAGGGGATCTCGCCCAATCTATGTACCCATAGAATTCATTTAGAAAATGAGTCCTACTCTAGCATTGAACCTCAGAGAAGATTAAATCCAAACCTGAAAGAAGTGGTAAAGAAAGAGATACTTAAACTATTAGACGCAGGTATAATCTACCCTATATCTGATAGCACTTGGGTATCTCCAGTCCATTGTGTTCCCAAAAAGGGAGGTATGACAGTCATTAAAAATTCTAAGGACGAACTGATACCCACTAGGACCATAACAGGACATAGGATGTGTATCGACTATAGGAAGCTTAATGCAGCCTCTAGGAAAGACCATTTCCACTACCTTTTATTGACCAAATGCTAGAGAGATTAGCAAACCACCCTTACTATTGTTTTCTAGATGGTTACAGCGGATTCTTTCAAATCCCTATCCATCCAAACGATCAAGAGAAAACCACCTTCACATGTCCTTACGGGACCTTTGCTTACAAGCGAATGCCTTTTGGGCTTTGCAACGCACCTGCAACTTTTCAGCGGTGTATGACTTCTATTTTCTCCGATTTGATAGAGGAGACGGTTGAGGTGTTCATGGATGATTTTTCCGTGTATGGCTCTTCCTTCTCCTCCTGTTTGTTAAATTTGTGCAGGGTGCTCAAAAGATGCGAGGAGACAAACCTAGTGCTGAACTGGGAGAAATGCCACTTCATGGTCAGAGAAGGCATCGTTTTGGGACACAAGATTTCAGAGAGAGGAATAGAGGTTGATAAGGCTAAAGTTGATGTGATGATGCAGTTGCAGCCACCAAAGACTGTCAAAGACATCAGGAGTTTTCTTGGGCATGTAGGGTTTTACAGAAGATTCATCAAGGATTTCTCCAAGTTGGCCAGACCGCTCACCAGATTATTGTGCAAGGAAACAGAGTTCACATTTGATGAAGAATGTCTGACGGCTTTTAAGTTGATCAAGGAAGCTTTGGTTACTGCTCCAATAGTCCAAGCTCCGAACTGGGACTACCCGTTTGAAATCATGTGCGATGCTTCAGACTATGCAGTAGGAGCAGTTTTGGGCCAGAAGATTGACAAGAAGCTGCATGTGATCTACTACGCAAGTAGGACGATGGATGATGCACAAGTGAGGTATGCCACCACTGAGAAGGAACTGTTGGCTGTGGTATTCGCATTCGAGAAATTTAGGAGCTACCTGGTAGGATCTAAAGTAACAGTCTACACTGATCATGCCGCCCTGAGGCATATCTATGCGAAGAAGGATACCAAGCCTAGGCTGTTGAGATGGATCTTACTGCTTCAAGAGTTTGACATGGAGATAGTAGATAAGAAGGGTATTGAGAACGGTTGTTTGTAGCGGATCATCTGTCTAGAATGAGAATTGAAGACGAGGTCCCTATTGATGACTCTATGCCAGAAAGAACAGCTAATGGCATTCAGACAACTGAACGAAAGCTCTCAAACCCTAAAATCACTCGTTCAAGTATGTGCAATGAAAGATAAGCTTCCGTGGTATGCTGATTACGTCAACTACTTGGTGAGTGGTGAAGAACCTCCGAATCTGTCAAGTTATGAAAAGAAGAAGTTCTTCAAGGACATTCACCATTTCTACTGGGATGAGCCTTATCTATACACTCTCTGCAAGGATAAGATCTACAGGCGATGCGTCTCAGAAGATGAAGCTGAAGGTATCCTGCTGCATTGTCATGGCTCTGCCTATGGTGGCCACTTTGCAACATTCAAGACAGTATCAAAAATCCTTCAAGCAGGTTTTTGGTGGCCAACAATGTTCAGAGATGCCCAGCAGTTCATTTCAAGATGTGACTCATGCCAGAGGAAGGGAAACATCAGTAGGAGAAATGAAATGCCACAAAATCCTATATTAGAGGTAGAAATCTTTGACGTCTGGGGAATCGACTTTATGGGACCATTCCCTTCTTCCTATGGGAACAAATACATTTTAGTGGCAGTAGACTACGTGTCCAAGTGGGTTGAGGCCATTGCAAGTCCCACGAATGATTCAAGGGTGGTTCTGAAGATGTTTAAAACCATAATCTTCCCAAGATTTGGTATACCAAGGGTTGTCATCAGTGATGGAGGTACACACTTCATCAACAAAGTCTTTGAGAATTTACTGAAAAAGCACGGAGTGAAGCATAAGGTAGCCACTCCTTATCATCCACAGACAAGCGGGCAGGTAGAAATCTCCAACAGGGAGATAAAAGCAATTCTAGAGAAGACTGTTGGGATTACAAGGAAAGACTGGTCTGCAAAGCTCGATGACGCGCTATGGGCTTACAGAACAGCTTTCAAGACCCCTATCGGCACAACTCCTTTCAACCTTCTCTATGGAAAATCCTGTCACCTACCTGTTGAGCTCGAGTATAAAGCTATGTGGGCAGTTAAACTACTGAACTTTGATATTAAGACCGCTGAGGAGAAGCGGTTAATCCAACTGAATGATCTCAATGAGATTCGCTTAGAAGCTTATGAGAGCTCCAGAATCTACAAGGAGAGAACTAAGTCTTTCCATGACAAGAAGATAATCTCGAGGGATTTTAAGGTTGGTGATCAGGTGTTGCTGTTCAACTCCCGCCTGAGACTCTTTCCAGGTAAGCTCAAGTCTAGATGGTCTGGTCCTTTCCGTGTCACTGCAGTTCGACCTTATGGTGCTATCACTCTAGCTGGAAAGGATGGAGATTTTACAGTCAATGGCCAGAGGCTTAAGAGATACATGGCAGATCAATACATTCCAGAAGGAACTTCTGTCCCTTTGGAGGAACCTCTTAATGCCTAATAAGTGTGAGGAGTCAGGCTAGAGACTTAAAACAAGCTCACTTGGGAGGAAGTCCCATGACCATCTCTGTAAATAATTTTTCCTTTCTTGTTATTTTTGATTTGTTTTGGTTGCGTTTGTGGTTCTCAGGAATGGAGAAACAATCTGGAGATAGAGTAAAAATTCAAAAATTTTACTCTACCAAGGACCTTGTGATCGAGTATATCAGCCTAGTGGAGTCCAAAAATTTGAAAATTTTTGTTGCACCCAGAGACCTTGCCATCGAGTAAGAGGTCGAGTACCCACGCGGAGCTGAAGCCGAGGCTGAGCAAGGAGATTCTTCAATGGCCTGGCAAGAATCGCAAACGAGCACTGATGATCACATCCGCTCTTCTTCCATTGAGGTAAGCACCACACTTCAACACTGTGCATTACCATCTCCTGTTTCGTTTCAAGGATGTGTTTGTCCTGAGTACTCTCTTCCAAATTTGATCACACAGAGGACTGTGTGATTTAAGTTTGGGGGAGGGCTCAGGAAGTGTGTGAACTGATGAGTCTTTTGTGTTCTTATCTTCAAATTTTTGCATTGTATATACTCTTGAGTCTGCATTCATCTAAGGCATAGAAAAAAACCAAAAAAAAATTGAAAATTTTCTGAAAATGTATTCCACAAAAACAGAGTGTTCATCTAGTTGCATCACATTTAGGATTGAGTCTAGTATGTTTCATATAGGATTGTTGCATATGCATAGGGGATTATGATGAATTAGCCTTGTAAGCATGTTGGTTCAGTAGATAGACTCAGTGCCCTCGTTGCTAGTTGTCTGATGCGTAGTCAATGAAATTGAAGTAAAACTGCACCATGTCTTGAATGCTCTACTCGATCACACTGTCATGATTTGATACCATTCCCTATCAATTTGAACCTGAATCTGATTTACAATTATCATGTCTTAGCATCAAATTTGAACTCATGGATACCATATACATACTTGGGTTTTCTTTCAACTTTTCACCATCCTTGCTAACCCAAGTAGCTGCTTCCATCATAGGAGCAGTTTCCCCAGACCTTAACCAAAACTTTCTTTTAAAAGCCCTGTAATATCTCGTGTGTGACCGTGAGGCCTGTTTCAGGATTGAGCTTGGTAGAAAGTGTTAGGTTTGAACCGACAAGAGTAGTGTCTCATGTAGTTCTAGTCCATGTTTTCTGGACTAGATAGGACTAGGTGGGAGTCTATTTATGGGTGGGGATCGAGTATATGAGTAAAAGAAGGTAAAGGTTGATGTTTTTAGGAGAAGGGAGTTGAAAAACAAGTTAGTCTAGTAATGGGTTTTGAGGAACTAAAATTCGAATAGATAGGCTCTGTAACAAAAGAAAGCAAAAATCTAGAAAAGTCTTTATCATAAGAAGATAACAAGAGCCATAGTTGTCAAAGAAAACCAAAACCCACTAGATCCATCAAGTAAAAGAAAACTTCTCCTTAGAACAGAGTCAAAGAAAAAGAAAGAGTGATTTGATCAAAGATAAAAATGAGAAAAAATGCCTTGAGGGTAGTACCATCTGCTGGTGTAAACACGGTTTATGTAATTGGGTAGATGAGATACTGTTCTTGTATGCATAAGTTGGGTCTTACCTTTAGCATTCTCCTAAAGCTCAGTCCTTTTCTTTTGAGAGTCCCCTGTTACTAAACTTGAACCACCTTAAAGGGACCGCCTTTGTCTCCTAACCTTCACCTTAAGCCAAATGAGTTCATTGATGGTGCATTGCTTGATTCACGTTCTGATACTAATGAATGTTAAAGGGATTGGTCGATTTGAAAGCATGTGTAGGTCGAGTATAAGAGTCGGATTGAATTATAACAAGGCATGGCTAACGTTTTTGAGTAGAGATCGATCATATCGCATCCTAGAACTATCAACTTGGACCTTGATTTTATCTATCCTATCTGATGCTTTGGTTCTGAATCCCCACCTTCAAACCTCTCCTTCATCTTATGTTTACTTGTTTGCTTGAGGGCAAGCAAAGACTAAGTTTGGGGGAGTTGATATGTCTATAATTTGCATGTTTTACACATCCATTTATCACCACTTTGAGTCTAGTTTCATTCATCTTCCATAGCATTCATCATCATTTTGTACATTTTGCATGTTTAAGTGTGTCTAGCATTAGTCTTGCATGCATTTTGCATTCTGGAGTTGTTTCAGGTACTTCGGAGCTATTGGTGTTCAGAAAGAGCAAAAACAGAGCTGAAAGTCACATTTGGACCATTCTACTCGATCACCAGTAGCAGAGAGGGAAGCAGTCAGCTCAGCAGACCATCAGGACCCTTATACTCGATCACAGAGCAGTCCAGCCAGACTGTTCTACTCGATCACAGAGGAGGAGAGCAGTCCATCCTGCCAGTTGACTGTTCTACTCGATCGCAAGGTTGAAGAAGCAGTCCAGATCACGCCATCAACCAACCTGCTCGACCGCAGAGGGAGAGGAGCAGTCCATCCTGCCAGTTCACTGTTATACTCGATCGCAAGGTTGAAGAAGCGGTCCGTCCTGACAGTCTACCCACATACTCGATCACAAGAGAGAAGAAGCAGTCCAGACCACGCCACTACCCATTCTACTCGATCACCACCTCGACCCTCTGATCAATCCGCACTCAACCAGACAACCTGAGCAAAGGAAAGAGAAGAGGAGAGAAGGAACCACTTGATCGCGGCTTCGATTCACGCTCGACCATGAAGCCCACTATACTCGACCTCCACGGTCCATGGGCTTGTTAAGCGGACTCGAAGCCCACTTACCTATCTATGTCGTTTTTACTATAAATAAGTCTCTAAGGGTTTTCCCTGAGACATTCGGTTTTTCACTTACGTTTTGTCTCGAACCCTAGTATTGTTTTAGTAGCCGCTTTTGCTTCTGCAACTTTGTATTTTTCGTTCGTTTTTCTAAGTTATTGAGATTCTGCTTTCATCCTCTTGTTGATTTCTGTTTCATTTCCTTTGATCTTTGAAGTTATGCAATCATCAATCGTTTCTGTGTCTTTGAGCATGTTGTCTGAGTAGTGACTAGGATTCCTGAGGATGTGATAGAGTAGTTGTGAGACCCATGGTCGAATCTGATGGTTAAGTGTAGTTACATTGAATCCCTTCTGGATTAGTTGTGCTTATTGCTATTCCTTTCTGATCAACTGGAATTCGATCCCAAACATTCCAGCGCTCATGAGGCGTTTAATGGATTGTTGGATCTACTAATTCCAGTGATAATCGTCTCTATCCCAAGGGATTGGCCGTTTAGAGCGGTTATTGGCTTTAACAGTCGGTTCTTATTGCCTGCATAGTTAGATTCCGTTAATGGGAATTAGTCTGGGCTAGCTTTGCTTGAGGATTTGTTGCACGGGAGTGAATAAGTCTGTTGTTGAACATGTTGTCTAGGGATAGCTTCATTGAGAATTGTTAACCATCTGAATTGATTATGGAGTCCACACTATTCGATTACCCCATCCTTAGGAATTTCTTATCCAATTGATTTATCTGTTTGCTTACCTGCTTCATTCACCTTCTCTGTTACTTGCTATTGAATTTTGATAACTGTCTGTTTTCGGACCCTTTTACTCTATCACATCCTCCTTCTGGCAGTGAGCCTTGTGATAGAGTATAGCAGTCCATTTCTGCAAATTTACTGTTTTCTGCAATCAATCACTAGGACTGTTAGAACAACAACCAATTCCTGCTTGGCTTGACTTAGTGCTTTCTGATCATATCTCATTTGTTTGCATCACACCTGATTGGATTGACACCTAAAATACTACAACGACACGATAGTGTTTTAGGATTAATTGATCTTAAAAACTTATTATCAAACCTCTTTCTCCTTTAAAAGGAATTCCGAAGGATCACCATAGTTCATTATAAGAAAAAACTTGAAAAATGCCGCTGTCTTCTTTCAGTTCAAGCTCAAGAATAACAACTTCAAGTGGGAACCCATTGTTTGAGTCCGAAGACGGATTCTCTCCAAAGGGAGTTATTCGCCCAACATTTTTTCATTTCCGAACAGGGAAGGAAAGGGTCAAATGTTATGACTTCCTGGAAAAGGTTCCTTTTCTAACTCTTAGTCTTCTCAGAAAACTATAACTTCCTTTCTTTTGGTCATTTGACAAAACGTTTGTTCAAACAGATCGTCGGGAGACACAAAGCTTTATGTGATAAGAGACAAAGAATCGGAAGGAGGCGCCGTGCTCTTGATGAGCGCATATAGAGGATGGAAAGAGAGATCCTTCGCCTGGAATCTGAACCGCATGAATGGGAGAGGAATGGTCTAGACATCGTGGCCATAATGCCTACTTGTCTCCGAAGATTCCTCCGCATGCTGGATAAATTTCATCGTTTATCCTTGGCGACCAGCGATGGGTCCTCTTTTGTTTCATGTTCTTCAGAGTTTCGGAGACTTCCGATGTTAAGAACTGAAGAAAAAGAGGAACCGGAGATGAAAATTGTTGATGACTTCTCCGGTCCTTTTGATTTATCTTCTGACGAGGGATTATCCTCGGAAAGCTGTTCGGGATCTTCCACCTCGCTGGAGTCATTATCGGGCGAAGACTTTTGATCGAACACTTTCCTATTTATGTTTGTAAAATGTCACTGGGCTTGAAACCCAGCAACATTAATTATATTCCTCCTTTTGCATTAAATTTGCCGATTATTCAAATCTTATTTAATGCGTTTAATCTAGGGAATATAATTAGCAATTAACTTGATTACATTTTCCATGAAAGTCGTAATTTCAGATTTGGGAAATCGTCAATTAATACTCTTAAATGTAATCGAGTAAATTTTTGAGTATAAAGTGGGTGTAGTCTGTCATTGAATTTCAACAACAATTCTACAAAAATGTTTGAAGAAGGAAATTCTTCAGAAAAACCTTCTGACTCATTCAAATTGATAAGTGACGATCTTCCGGGAGCACCAGACATCGAGCTTACAAAAACGGGAAGAACTGGCGAACCGGAATGGTCACGAATATTGAGGAAGGGAACCAGCATTCAGGTTCCGATCGTATTAATCGAGAGATTGTCAGCCCAAGATCGTGTCAAGGCCGAGGAGTTTATCAACAAGGTATTTTCCATCCTAGTGATTTTACTCTTTTTGTTATTGCTAAACGTAGCGTTTTATTTTCTTCAGCTTATCACTCGGCATGACGAGCTCGAGGACGAGAAAAAAGAGATTAGGAAGAAGAGAAGGGAACTAGGGAAGCGTTGCCTTGACATTGCTCGAGTGCTTCATTGCCTCGAAGCCCATCCTTCCGATTGGATCGAACTGGGACTTCAGGAGTACGGAAACATGCCAGGTTGCATTATGAGCATCGTTGACCTCGCTGGTCAAGGAGCGGAGTTATTCCGTAATTCAAGACCCTTCTAAATCTGAGTTTAGCTAGAAATATTTATTTATACATTGTTTGCAATGTACTCTATATTCAAGCCCAAGGAAAAAATAAGATTCCATGATTTCAAATAATATTTTTATTTTTATATTATAGCTGGACTCGTGTTTAGCGAGCTGCCTACGTACCCAAAATAGGATCAAGCCAAATCGTAGTTCGAATATGTTTGCTTTAGCAATAGAACTTTTTCAAGTTGATTATGTTCCAAGGCCTTTGAACGGGGTTTCCGTCAAGGTCTTGTAAACGGTATACACCGTTTCGGATTTTTTCAGTGATTTGATAAGGGCCTTCCCAGTTAATACCGTGTTTTCCAGCTCCTTCTTCTTTTGTGTTATCGAACACTCACCTTAAAACAAAGTCCCCTACATTTAAAGGTCTGTTTTTCAACTTTGAGTTATAGTATCGAGCGGTCAATTGTTGATAGTTTTGAAGTCGAATAAGGGATTCGTCTCGCCTTTAATCGATGGTATCGAGAACATCTTCTAATAATTTAGAATTCGATTCCTCGTTAAGTGGAGCTTCGCTCCGGCGCAAACCTGGAACATTCAGCTCGGCTGGGACTACGGCTTCCATCCCATAAACTAATGAGAATGGAGTTTCACCCGTTGCTCGCCTCGGGGTTGTTTGATAAGCCCACAACACAGGTTGCAGCTCGTCATACCATCCACCTTTTCGAGCACTCAAGCGTTTTTTAAGATTGCTGAGAATGGTTTTGTTGGAAGCTTCCGCTTGTCCATTTCCTTGAGGATACCTCGGCGTTGAGTAGCTAAGTTTTATTCCCCAAGCGGAACAAAAATCTTCAAAATCATTTGAAATGAATTGAGGACCATTGTCCGTTACTATTTCGTAGGGAACTCCATAGCGACAAATAATGTGTTTCCACAAGAATGTCTTTACTACGGAATCCTGTATGCTTATATAAGCTTCAGCTTCAATCCATTTGGAAAAATAGTCCGTTAGAACTAATAAGTATTGGACGCCTCGTGTTGAACGATGCATCGGACCGATTATATCCATTGACCACCTCATGAAAGGGTATGGAGCGGATATAGATGATAGAATTTCAGATGGCTGGTGAATAAGAGGAGCGTGCATCTGACACTTTTTACACCGTTTGGCGTAATCGATGCAGTCTGAAATCATAGTTGGCCAGAAATATCCTAACCGTTTGATTTTGAAAGCCATTGCTCGTCCCGAAGAATGACTACCACAAAGCCCTTCGTGGACCTCGCTTGTCACTATTTCAACTTCGGGTCCGAAAATACATAAAAGATAAGGATCACTGACGCCTCGCTTGTACAATGACTCTTTAATTATACAATACTTAGCGCTGATGATTTTTAATTTGCGAGCTTGCCATTTGTTCGATGGTAGTTCTCCATTAAGAATGAAATTTTTGATGGGTACCCTCCAGTCAGCCCCCCAATCATTAGCGGAAGTATTATCCTTGAGTATAAACTTCCTTGGTTCGGGTTCGGAAGGAATATCAGGATCTTCGATTGTCTCCTGAACCTCTACATCACCTGGAAGTGACTGTTCGGTTTGAGACGGTTCTTTAATGGGAACCTCTTGATCCTTTAATTTTCTTCTTGACTTTCTTTTAGGAAGTTCCAATGGTGGAGTAAGTTCGTCATCTTTTGACTTTATTCGTGATCTGGTGATGACAAGTGAACTATTTTCATTTCGGGAACTTGGTTTTGGAGTTTCGATGTATTCGGCCTCCGAAATGTTATCGTTTTCTGTTTCTTCAACCGAAATACTTCGCGAAGAAATACATTCAACTGGGATAACTCGTTTGAGTTCAGGATCTGAGGTAGAAGCTAGGGCAGCTAAAGCGTCTGCCGAAGTGTTTTCTCCTCTAGGTATTCGAACTAATTCGAATTCTTTGAATTTTACGGCTAATTTTTTGACAGCCGAAAGATAAGCTTCCATTCGAGGAGCCTTAGCTTCGTAATCTCCAGCGAACTGGTTTACAACTAGCTGAGAATCGCAATAAGCTATTATTTTTTCTGCTCCAATTGCAAGAGCAAGCCGAAGTCCTGCTAAGAGAGCTTCGTATTCCACTTCATTATTTGAAGCCGGGAACATTAATCGAAATGATTGTTCAATTATTTCTTTTGACGGAGTTTCGAGCCTAATACCGATTCCGGATCCTTGTTTAGAAGAAGAGCCATCTGCATGTAATTTCCATGTGGAGTCCGTTTCAACAAAGATTCCATCATTTAATGGTAGTTCGGTTAGAAAATCAGCCAGGACTTGTGCTTTTCCGCTAATCCGACTTTTGTATTCTATATCGTACTCACTGAGCTCGATTGCCCATTTCGCCAATCTTCCGGACTGACTTGGACCGTGAAGAATTAAGCGAAGTGGATAAGAAGTTAAAACTTCTATCGGATGAGATTGGAAATAAGGTCTGAGTTTTCTAGCAGATATGACTACTGCTAAAGCTAATTTTTCCATCATGGTATATCTCGTTTCTGGACTAGTAAGAGATTTACTTATGTAAAAAATTGGCTTTTGTTCACCTCGGTCCTCTCGAACTAAAACCCCACTTACGGAATGGTTAGAGACTGAAATGTAGAGATAAAGTTTTTCATCTGATTCAGGTTTTGAGAGAATCGGCGGTGTTGTCAGATAAGTTTTGAGTTGACCAAATGCTGCTTCGCATTGATCATCCCACCGAAATTTTTTGTTCCCTTTCAAAATTTGATAAAAGGGGAGACATTTATCGGTAGATTTCGATATGAAATGATTTAATGCAGCAATTCTGCCTGTCAATCGTTGGACCTCCTTAATGTTTCTTGGCGAAGGCATTGTGAGGAAAGCGTTAATCTGATTAGGATTTGCTTCTATTCCTCTTTCCGTGACTATGTACCCCAGGAATTCTCCGGAAGGCACGCCAAAGGAACATTTAGCTGGATTTAATTTCATTCCGAACTCGTTCAAAATTTTGAAACACTGCTCGAGATGTGTGATGTGCTCAGATTTCTTAAGGGATTTCACGAGCATGTCATCTATATAAACTTCCATCGTTTTGCCCAAATGTTCTGCAAACATTTTGTTAACTAAACGTTGGTATGTTGCCCCGGCATTTTTTAAACCGAATGGCATAACTTTATAACAGTAGATTCCTCTATCTGTTATGAAGGATGTTTTCTCTTCATCTTCGGGATTCATCATGATCTGATTATACCCAGAAAATGCATCCATAAATGTTAAGAGTTCGTTTCCGGCCATTGATTCTACGAGCCGATCGATATGAGGGAGAGGAAAACTGTCTTTTGGACATGCTTTGTTAATGTCGGTGAAATCGACACATACTCTCCACTTTCCATTTTTCTTTTTGACTACCACGGGGTTTGCTAACCAGTCCGGGTATTTTACTTCTCTAATTGAACCAATTTTCAAAAGCTTATCAACTTCGTCATTGACCGCTTGAGCTCGGTCAGGACCCAGTTTTCTTCTTTTCTGCTTTATTGGTTTAAAACTGAGATCAACGTTTAAATCATGGGTGATAATACTTTTGTCGATTCCGGGCATATCTTTTGCTGACCAGGCGAAAGTATGTTTATTTTCCTTGAGGAATGTTACCAATTGATCTTTGATTTCTGAATCTAAAGTAGTACCGATTTTTACTTTTCGATCTGGAAATTCGGAATCAATTTCAATTTCTGTAGTAACTTCATTCGAACTGAGACCACTTGGGTAACGCGAGGTGCTCTCTTGCTTCACGTTTATCATTAATTGCTATTTGAGCTTTAAACGATGTCACATGAGGTAGCAAGAACGTGATGTTTCCTGATCACCTCGAATGGTTCCGATTCCTGCAGGAGTCGGAAATTTCATGCATTGGTGATAAGTTGAAGGTATAGCCTTCATTTGGTAAATCCACGGAGTTCCAAGAATTATGTTGTAAGCGGCCGGTCGGTCGAAAACAATGAATTCTACGATTTTTAGAACCCCTGCAACAAGTATTGGTAATTTTATGTTTCCTAAGGACATGGAAGTGTCACTTGTGAAAGCTACCAATGGTGCTGGCGGACCGATAATATCGGCTTTACTGATTCCCATTCTTTGCAAAGTGCTTAGAAATATGAGATCTACCGAGCTTCCAGTATCAATTAGACACCTAGTTACTTCGAAGTTCGCAACATCTAAAGTTATCACTAGAGCATCGTCATGAGGTCCTGTTAATCCTTGAGTATCCGAATTATCGAAAGAGATAGAAGGTGTTTGTTCACTTGACTGGAAACTCACAGCGGTTTGAATTGCTGCTGATTTCTTGTGCCTTTTGATTGATCTGATCGAATCTCAGCATAATTTGGATCCTCCCATTATAACATCGATCCTTTTCTTAGGAGTGTTCGGAGTTCCGGGCCCATTGGGCTTATGTTTCTTTTCAGGAGGATTGGACGCTTCGGAATCTTCTTTTTCTTTATGATAAGATTCCACAAACTCCTCGATATTGAAATTAGCGAGCTCTCCAGCCGCCCACAGTTCGGTGAGGTGCTTTTTGAGTACGCTGCAATCTTTGGTGGAATGCCCATTTACTCTATGAATATCGCAATAGGCACTCTCATCTCTAACCCAAGTATTAGGAGAATTGTATCTTCCTCTGCTTGGGGAGGGTTTTCCTACAGCGTTAGTAGCAGGATTAACTCCGAACCGTTTTTGATCTTTTGGTTCGAACTTTTTAGTTGGATTTCCAACAACCAATTTTGCTGGCCGATGCTTTTTAGCGAGGCTAAGCTTTTCTTCTTCTGCCTCCATCCCATTAGTAGCTCTAAATAAAGCGTCTTGGATGGTGCTTGGACGATTGACGATGATTTCTTCCCGGAATCGAAATTCATGCCAGAGTCCGTTTTTTAAAGCAGAAAGGGCAGCAGCGTGCGATACCCCAGAAATTTTGGCTATCACTTCTTTGAATTTAGCGATATATTTGCGAAGTGGTTCGTTCTGACCTTGGGTTAAATTCCAAAGATCTGCATCAGAGGTTGCCTTTTCCATGAACATGGAATACTGTTTTAGGAATGCGGAGGACAATTCCTTAAAACTATCAATGGATTCAGGCTCCAACTGAGTGAACCATAATAAAGCCGATCCGGATAGATTCTCGGAGAATAGTTTGCAATATCCGGCATCTTCCTCGTCTGGTTCTAGATCAATTCTGCCAGCAGCGATCTGAAAAGCAGCGAGGTAATTTTTAGGATCGCCTTTACCATCGTAAGTTGGTAATTTGACCTTTCGAGAATTTTTGATCCGAAGCTTCGAGATTCTCGAAGTGAAGGGTGTTCGTCGAGTTTCTTCGATTACTCGATCGATCTCAGGCGCCGAACTGGTCGCCTGATGAAATTTCGATTTCATTTCACTAAGCTCTTGACGAACTTTGATGAAATCGTCTGATAGGGTGACGTCAGGATCTTCTATGAAGAATCCGTCGTCATCAGGAAGATTTCCCTGACCCTGGGGAACTTGTTCCCCGGTTGGGTTAGTCGCATCCCCTACGGCTGCCTGGTTGCTAGTATTAGCGGGTTGGCCTGCAAGAGGGGTTTGGGTATTCCCGGGAGTCGCGAATAACCTGCGCTGACGTATCGTTGTTCGCGCTGAAGACAAATTATCTAAACGGCTCGAAATAGTATTCTACGCGTTTGACAAATTTGTCTGGGTGGTTTGAATACTCGTTAAGGTTTGCTCGATTGAATTTAACCTTTCACCAAAAGTGGTGTTGGCACTAGCGAGTGTACCCATCTGATTGGTCAGATCGGTGGTTGTCTGAGTAAGCAAGGCAATTGCACTGCTCAAAGCTTGCTGCTCAGCCATAGTTTCTTGGTTTGAGAAAGAGAGATTTTGAGATTAAAGAGTTTTGCGGTAACTCCCCACAGGCGGCGCCAAAATGTGGATGTAGGATTCACACTCGATTGTCTTTAAGTATTTTTGTGGAGAAAAACTCTAAAATCAAAGGATGAAAATAAGAATTCGAAAAGGAAAGTAACCAAGAAACCAAATAAAGTGAAAGAATTTGATAAGAATAAAATAGTAAAAAGCCTTGAGAAATTGTGAAAGAAAAAGTATGTTGTATTGCTTGATAGTAAGAGGTAAAAGATTGTCTGTCCCCAAACACATGCGTTTGAGGTTGTTTTTATAGAGAAAACATGATTAATGCGGCTATTTACTACTCGTAATCATATTGATCCGCATTAATCACATAAGTTACATTTTGACCAAAACGGCTTGAATTTGAACCTTGTCTTGGGCTTCGCGTGGGCCTTCCGAACTCTTTCTTGCTGACTCCGAACTCCCGTGCTTTGATGCTACCGCGAGCCTCGAACAATATTCTCCTCGCTTCGGTCTTTCTCTATGCGAACTGTATGCTAAATAAGAGTGAACTCCGTACTGGTAAAGATCGAACTCCTTTAGTAAACTGAATCGAACTCCCAACCGGTCAAGTCCAATAAAGTATTTAGAAATCCGAGAGGATTATTGTGTAATAATGACGTGGACAGATCCAAGTGGATCCTACCGAAAGTGTGTGGGATCCGACCCCAACACTACACATCTCAAGAAATTGGATGATAGATCAAGAATGCTAGTGTATTTAGGGACTGAACCGGGATCTAAAGCTTATCGCTTACTTGATCCAACAAAGCGTAGAGTAATAGTAAGCAGAGATTGTTGGGGTCGGATACCACACATTTTCGGTAGGATCCACTTGGATCTGTCCACGTCATTATTGCACAATAATCCTCTCGGATTTCTAGATACTTTATTGGACTTAACCAGTTGGGAGTTCGATTCAGTTTACCAAAGGAGTTCGATCTTTACCAGTACGGAGTTCGCTCTTATTCAGCATACAGTTCGCATAGAGAAAGACCAAAGCGAGGAGAATATTGTTCGAGGCTCGTTGTAGCATCAAAGCACGGGAGTTCGGAGTCAGCAAGAAAGAGTTCGGAAGGCCCACGCGAAGCCCAATACAAGGTTCAAATTAAAGCCGTTTCGGTCAAAATGTAACTTATGTGATTAATGCTGATCAATATGATTACGGGTAGTAAATAGCCGCATTAATCATGTTTTCTCTATAAAAAACAACCCCAAACGCATGTGTTTGAGAGAACAATCTTTTACCTCTTAACTATCAAGCAATACAACATACTTTTCCTTTCACAATTTCGCAAGGCTTTTTACTATTTAATTCTAATCAAATTCTTTCGCTTTATTTAGTTTCTTGGTTACTTTCCTTTTCGAATCCTTATTTTCATTTGTTGATTTTAGAGTTTTTCTCCACAAAAATACTTAAAGACAATCGAGTGTGAATCCTACATCCACATTTTGGCGCCGTCTGTGGGGAGTTACCGCAAAACTCTTTAATCTCAAAATCTCTCTTTTTCAAACCAAGAAGCTATGGCTGATCAGCAAACTTTGAGCAATGCAATTGCCTTGCTTACCCAGTCAACCACCGATCTGACCAATCATATGGGTACACTCGCTAGTGCCAACGCCACTTTTGGTGAAAGGTTAAACTCAATCGAGCAAACTTTAACGAGTGTTCAAACCACTTAAACAAATCTGTCAAACGCGCAGAACGTTGTTTCAAGCCGTTTAGATAATTTGTCCTCAGCGCGAACGACAGTGTATCAGCGCAGGCTATTCCAGACTCCCACACAAAACAGATCTGGGAGCACTCAAACTCCTTCTGCAGGCCGTCCTGCTAGTACTAGCAATCAGACAACCGTAGGAGATGGATCAAATCCAACCGGGGATGAAAATCCCCAAAATCAGGAAAATCCTGCTATTGACGAAGGACTCCTTATGGAAGATCCTGATGTCATCCTTTCAGATGATTTCGTCAAAGTTCGTCAAGAGCTTGATGAGATGAAGTCGAAATTTCATCAGGCGACCAGTTCGGCACCTGAGATCGATCGAGTAATCGAAGAAACTCGACGAACACCCTTCACTTCGAGAATCTCGAACCTTCGGATCAAAGATTCTCGAAAGGTCAAATTACCAACTTACGATGGTAAAGGTGATCCTAAAAATCACCTCGCTGCTTTTCAGATCGCTGCTGGCAGAATTGATCTAGAACCAGACGAGGAAGATGCCGGATATTGCAAACTATTCTCTGAGAATCTATCCGGATCGGCTTTATTATGGTTCACTCAGTTGGAGCCTGAATCTATTGATAGTTTTAAGGAATTGTCCTCCGCATTCCTAAAACAGTATTCCATGTTCATGGAAAAGGCAACCTCTGATGCAGATCTATAGAATTTAACCCAAGGTCAGAACGAACAACTTCGCAAATATATCGCTAAATTCAAAGAAGTGATAGCCAAAATTCCTGGGGTATCGCACGCTGCTGCCATTTCTGCTTTAAGGAACAGACTTTGGCATGAATTCCGATTTCGGGAAGAAATCATCGTCAATCGTCCGAGCACTATCCAAGATGCTTTATTCAGAGCTACTAATTGGATGGAGGCAGAAGAAGAAAAGCTTAGCCTCGCTAAAAAGCATCGGCCAGCAAAATCGTTGGAAATCCAACTAAAAAGTTCGAACCGAAAGATCAAAAACGGTTCGGAGTTAATCCTGCTACTAATGCCGTAGGAAAACCCTACCCAAACAAAGGAAGATACAATTCTCCTAATACCTGGGTTAGAGATGAGAGTGCCTATTGCGATATTCATAGAGTAAATGGGCATTCCACCAAAGATTGCAGCGTACTCAAAAAGCACCTCACCGAACTGTGGGCGGCTGGAGAGCTCGCTAATTTCAATATCGAGGAGTTATTGGAATCTTATCATAAAGAAAAAGAAGATTCCGAAGCGTCAAATCCTCCTGAAAAGAAACATAAGCCCAATGGGCCCGGAACTCCGAACACTCCTAAGAAAAGGATCGATGTTATAATGGGAGGATCCAAATTATGCCGAGATTCGATCAGATCAATCAAAAGGCACAAGAAATCAGTAGCAATTCAAACCGATGTGGGTTTCCAGTCAAATGAGCAAACACCTTCTATCTCTTTCGATAATTCGGACACTCAAGGATTAACAGGACCTCATGACAATGCTCTTGTGATAACTTTAGATGTTGCGAACTTCGAAGTAACTAGGTGTCTAATTGATACTGGAAGCTCGGTAGATCTCATATTTCTAAGCACTTTGCAAAGAATGGGAATCAGTAAAGCCGATATTATCGGTCCGCCATCACCATTGGTAGCTTTCACAAGTGACACTTCCATGTCCTTAGGAAACATAAAATTACCAGTACTTGCCGCAGGGGTTCCAAAAATCGTAGAATTATTTGTTTTCGACCGACCGGCCGCTTACAACATAATTCTCGGAACTCCGTGGATTTACCAAATGAAGGCTATACCTTCAACTTTTCACCAATGCGTGAAATTTCCAACTCCTGCAGGAATCGGAACCATTCGAGGTGATCAGGAAACATCGCGTTCTTGCTACCTCATGGGACATCGTTTAAAGCTCAAATAGCAATTAATGATAAACGCGAAGCAAGAAAGCACCTCGCGTTACCCAAGTGGTCTCAGTTCGAATGAAGTTACTACAGAAATTGAAATTGATTCCGAATTTCCAGATCGAAAAGTAAAAATCGGTACTACTTTAGATTCAGAAATCAAAGATCAATTAGTAACATTCCTAAAGGAAAATAAACATATTTTCGCCTGGTCGGCAAAAGATATGCCGGAATCGACAAGAGTATCATTACCCATGATTTAAACGTCGATCCCAGTTTTAAACCAATAAAGCAGAAAAGAAGAAAATTGGGTTCTGACCGAGCTCAAGCGGTCAATGACGAAGTTGATAAGCTTTTGAAAATTGGTTCAATTAGAGAAGTAAAATACCCGGACTGGTTAGCAAACCTCGTGGTAGTCAAAAAGAAAAATGGAAAGTGGAGAGTATGCGTCGATTTCACCGACATTAACAAAGCATGTCCAAAAGACAGTTTTTCTCTCCCTCATATCGATCGGCTCGTAGAATCAACGGCCGGAAACGAACTCTGAACATTTATGGATGCATTCTCTGGATATAATCAGATCATGATGAATCCCGAAGATGAAGAGAAAACATCCTTCATAACAGATAGAGGAATCTACTGTTATAAAGTTATGCCATTCGGTTTAAAAAATGTCAGGGCAACATACCAACGTTTAGTTAACAAAATGTTTGCAGAACATTTGGGCAAAACGATGGAAGTTTATATAGATGACATGCTCGTGAAATCCCTTAAGAAATCCGAGCACATCACACATCTCGAGCAGTGTTTCAAAATTCTGAACGAGTTCGGAATGAAATTAAATCCAGCTAAATGTTCCTTTGGCGTGCCTTCCGGAGAATTCCTGGGGTACATAGTCACGGAAAGAGGAATAGAAGCAAATCCTAATCAGATTAACGCTTTCCTTACTATGCCTTCGCCAAGAAACGTTAAGGAGGTCCAACGATTGACAGGCAGAATTGCTGCATTAAATCGTTTCATATCGAAATCTACCGATAAATGTCTCCCTTTTTATCAAATTTTGAAAGGGAACAAGAAATTTCGGTGGGATGATCAATGCGAAGCAGCATTTGGTCAACTCAAAACTTATCTGACAACACCGCCAATTCTCTCAAAACCTGAATCAGATGAGAAACTTTATCTCTACATTTCAGTTTCTAACCATTCAGTAAGTGGGGTTTTAGTTCGAGAGGACCGAGGTGAACAAAAGCCGATTTTCTACATAAGTAAATCTCTAACTAGTCCAGAAACGAGATATACCATGATGGAGAAATTAGCTTTAGCAGTAGTCATATCTGCTAGAAAACTCAGACCTTATTTCCAATCTCATCCGATAGAAGTTTTAACTTCTCATCCACTTCGCTCAATTCTTCACGGTCCAAGTCAGTCCAGAAGATTAGCGAAATGGGCAATCGAACTCAGTGAGTACGATATAGAATACAAAAGTCGGACTAGCGCAAAAGCACAAGTCCTGGCTGATTTTCTAACCGAACTACCATTGGATGATGGAATCTTTGTTGAAACGGACTCCACATGGAAATTACATGTAGATGGCTCTTCTTCTAAACAAGGATCCGGAATCGGTATTAGGCTCGAAACTCCGACAAAAG